GCCGCGGCCCCGAGCGCCGCCAGCCCCGCGGCCGGGCCGGGCCGGGCGCCCCGCGGCTGCCCCAAGTTGTCGCGGCGGGGCCCGGCTCGGCCCGGCGCGGCGGCCCCGGCTCCGGCCGCCGTTGTGTCGCCGGGAGGTGCTGCCCATTAGTATGCGGCGAGCGCAGCGGCGGCCGCGCCGCGTGTCCGGGCAGCGCCGAGCCGAGCCCGCGCGCTGCCGTCCGGGCTGCCTCCCGCACCCCGCGCTGCCGTGCGGGCTTAGCCGGGGGCTCTCCTTGCTTTTGTACTGCCTGCTGCACGAGGGTTTTCCCGATTTTCTTGCATTACTAGCGCTGTGCAGGGCTCTGGGGAGCTCTGGAGTACGCGTTTCTTTGAAAGGCAGCAGGGAGAGGGGAGGTGGACGAGCCCCGATTTCGGCTGCACGGCAGACTTGAAAGGGCAGCAGCGACTGTGGGGGATCCCTGTAGTGACTAGGAGCAGAAATACGTCTTTGAAGTAACAGGAGACGGTGGGGTTACTTAGTTGGGTGATAATTGTGGCAAAATGATAAAATCTGGCATTTATTGCTCCTCTTTTCCTCCGCTCCCGCTTTGCCCCTGGAATTCTATTGTTCTTGATGTTTTAAGCTCTTTATGGCTGGAGTAAGTGTAGAAAAGTGGGTGCTGCCTGCGTCCTGCACTGAATCACATCTCACAACTACTCTAGTACCAGGTGGATTGCAACCTTGAGAAGGAGGGAAGGAAAATGTGCAGCAGCGGTACAAAGGGGACTGGGATTCATTAAACTCCAACACTCTCGAGCCCTGATTCTGCAAGTATTTAAGCACATATGGAGTTTCACATGCCTSAGTTACCCGTCGAATTCAGTGGGATTACTGCTCAATATCAAAACTGTTTACAGGTTGCAGAATAGGCTCACTAAACCTGGTAAAAATTAGACTCTCTTTAGTTTCTTCTCTGTAAAAGAACGTCTAATTTGGCCGTTTATGTTKCCTGAGAAAACATTCTTGCCTGTGTAAAGCATAATGTAACAAGACTGTGGTATCTATCCTGTAGGAAACTGCAGAGGGGTTTGTCAGTGAGTAGGAATCAAAGTCCACAGTTATTTGTAGCATATTAAGCACAGTTTAAATTATATGCAGAAGCATAATTGACTCATACTAGACTAAGCTGCAAACTTCAGTTTTCCTGTCTGAAACTGGATGTGTCTGTTTGGGTATTTGCACATGTGAAATTGAAGAGAATATGGGACTTGTCCCTCTGAACTTCACAAACTCARATGGCTGAAATGCTTTTCATTCATAATGTAAAAGAGCAATAGTTACCAGATATGCATTTTTATCTCTGAATTCATCCCTATATATGATGTCTCAGACGAAAAGAACATTTTTTTTCCAGAAAAAGAAGTCTGCCGTACTAAAATATTTTTTTTCTCCAAACAGTGAAGATATCGCAGCATTCTAAAATACTTAGTACTCATTTTAATGAAAAGGCTGTGCGGTAGGTACCAAAAGCAACTTTCAGGAAAGTTTATTTTGGCTGCATTAAAATAACCCTTATTCACTCCTTTTTTGGAGGTATGCTAGGACTAACATTCAATTTCCTTTCATGTATAAATTAAATCATTATAAAATCCATAGGGAAAAGATAAATTCATAGGGCTAACTTAAATCATTGGCCTCACACAGTGAGAAATGAAAATACAAAAGCTTTTTTTAGTTTCAGACATAGGACCCAGTCCTGCAAACTAGAGCATAGGAGTGGCTTTATCCATGTAAGTAATCCATACAGAAAACACTGGGAATTAATGCTGGAATTCTAATACTTATGTACTTGCATCTTTGAAGAATCTGATCTCAGACAATAAATATATACTGAATTGTGTAAAGATTTAAGTTATAATAATACAAAAGAAGTACTTYCACATGGCCCTCAACATTCTACCTGATCATGAACTTGCTAACAGCCAGTAACATAGAWTTTAAATTTAATTAAAAGAAACTCAGGTATTTTTTTATATTTTGCTASCAGTAATACAGAACCATCAACAGGAGAGCACTTTTTGTGATTGTGAAGGTGAGGATTTTTAGTTCTGTCCCTGTGCAGTCAGGATATGCTTGTAAGAACCCTGGAGAAGAAGCTGATGGAAAGTGCAAGGACAATACCCAGCTAAGGGTTTATCAAGCAGATGATTTRTAAGGTTGAAAGTTGAGGGACACTTGTATAAAACTTTATCTATATTAATGGGCTGCAGTGCTTCATATCGCTSTAAAATACACGCAGAATTCTGCATGCTAAAGCAAAGCAAAAAGGACTTGTGTTTCAGAGTAATTCCCAGTTRCCCTGCTGGTAGGTTGTACGGTGATACATTATGCTCAAACATGAATTTATTTTCAGTACATGATCAAGACTTCATGACATGGTATTTGAAATTCAGGCTTAAAATTTGTCAGTAGTGATAGCTGCTGATTTGGGGTGACCATTTATCATTCAAATGTGGAGTGCTTTGGGAATTACATATATAAAGAGATTAAATTTCAACAGCAACAGCCAAAGCTAAACAGAATTTACTGCAGAAGAGGCAGAGCTGTTTGTTTGYTTTTGTTTTTTGAGGTAGAAGCCTCTTCAGTCAAAAAACAAAAACAAAGCATTTGGGGGAGAATGCTAGGAGTGAAAAATCTGTCTGTAGGTAGTTAGAGAACCCCTTTCATCAGCAGTGCTGTAAGTTTAGTTTAGGTTTATGTGGGAGATTTGCTGTTACTTCACTGAGCAGTCCTCAGGCTGGTTTAACTTTGTGCTGGGAGTATTTGTCTAACACAGAGCTGTTTGATTTTAGACATTATGTGCCTTTCCGTAAGTCACAGTTATCTTCAGGTTGTTTTTGGTAAGGAAGGGAAATGCATGTATGCAGCATCATGTATCTTGMTAACATTTGACTTGCATTTATAATGAGTTTTAAATGAGTAATAGTATTTTTTTAATGTTGTATTTACTGTTACATTGCTAGCTTTTTACTTTTCTCAGTAATAAAGAACAATAATATATGTATTTTTACCTACATATATGTCTTGAAACTAAACAAGCTGTTCATACTTTGTCTTGTGATCACCTCTGCATTCCTAAATTGATTTGAACGCCACAAAGGCAAACTTACCAGGATAATGAGGAACGTACTGAATTTCTTCTTTTTCTCCGTAGTCTTATTAGACTTTTAAAAATGAAAGTCATGATTTACACAACTTTGGAAACTTCTTCCACTCTTACACAAGGTGGAGATGAGTGTCATGTCAAGGATGAATATTTCTTTGTAATACTCAAAGTGAAATCAGGGGGTCTGTAAAATGAGCATTCTTACCTCTTTAGGCCAAGGGAGCCCTGCTTAATTATTCTGTGAGCTTTGTGCACTGGAGGACAGGATCTAGGAGAACYAGGCTCGTTATTTTTGGTGGGTTTATTTTTGTTTGATGAAGTCTCACATTTAAAGAAATTTAGATCTGATAAACTGGAGATCTGTCTAAAAAATATAGCAAGTTTTCAGTGGTTTTCTTTCATAGATCTGCTAGCGTTTGCTTTTTCCTTCTCAGCATTTAGTAACATACTGTCGTGGGTTGGTAAAACGAGGCTGATGAGTGTCRTGTCTGTGTTAATTAAATCGGTGGTGAATTGTAGGCATCGTTTTAAGCAGCTGGTCTGCAAGTTTTATGCAAAGAACAAATACTTCTGTCTAGTGAATGAGAGGTTAAGAACTGAGGGACTGATAAAGTAAAAGAAAATATTTAATCTAATTGTAATGAGTGTGAATTGGATGTGAAGAGTCCCAGTGGCATCAGATAGCTGTGTAAGAGARATGCTACTTTTTAACTCCAGGTGTGCTTCTTGAGGGCTCATAATAGTGATTAATGAAGGTTCAGAATTACTGAAAGTTTAGTAAGTTTTGTGATGTCTGGTGATACGAAAAAGACTTAAAATACCATCTGTAAGGAAGCTGATGCAGTGTTGCATTGATTGAAATTTTGTAGGTGGCGACAGTGGATTGGATGGGTTAGGAGGACCAGGAGTACAACTTGGAAGCCCTGATAAGAAAAAGCGCAAAGCAAATACACAGGTAAACTGTCTCTGGTTCTTTTGATTTCTCAATAAATAGTGTATCTGGATGTTGTTCTCACTGCTCAGAGTGTCAGTCCGTTCTCACAAATAGAAGGCACTTATTATTGAGGCATTTTCAGTGTAAATGCTGAGTTGAAATCTCCACTCTCTCGTCATCCTTATGAAACTTCATAGCCCTAGTTACTGTCACTAGAGTTATTTTAGATCTCTGTAGGTTGCCAAWGTCCTATAAAAGGAGGAGCTCAGTGACACTGAAATGACTGTGTTTGACCATATGGATTTGATTGTGGGGCAGGCCTTATTTCAATGACTTTGTAGCCATTGATAGAAATCTGTTTTTTAAAAAATTGCCATGAGAGTACTTTTCTTCTTACCTTTTCTTCTATATATGTAAGAGCTAATAAGGCTAGAGGATGTATACAGTTTATTAATATTCTGTTCAAACTTTTGGCATATTTTCCTGGTGTTTTTCAAGCAGAACTCATGCTGCAGTTTCGGCTCCTTTCCAAAGAATCCCTACAATTTCTGTGAATTTGGCATTTCTCTGTAGTTGCTATTTCCAGGAAAGGAAGCCTAGATACAAAACATGTAATGCAGTTAGATACCTATAATACAGGATTTTTGTTTGTGTTCATTCAACTTCATGATTGAGAGTGTCTGTTAATTTTGTACTGCCCAGTGAGAGGAGGCACTTTTGACTGGTACATAGAAAATTCCCATATGCAATCTACTATGTACTTTTTGTGGGGGAAGAAAGGAGGGAAGAAATATAATAACTTTAGTATTTTAATTTTCTGTATCCTTATAGAAGTGGGGTGTCTTCGGTGGTATATATTCAGTAAGTTGATTCTCTAATTAAACTAAGGAAATGCTCCAAATCTACTCTTCAAAATATTTGAAGCATTTTGTGCATGTAACACATTGTTTTCTCTGTTCCCTCCTTTCTTAAGATGAAGAAACAAGTTATACCTTAAGTAGTATTTTTCAACAGCATAGTTGTGCAAATGCACCATTCTTTAAATGGTACTTTACTATAAATCTCTCTTATCTGGGGCCCAAACTCCGTTCTCGCCTCCCCGCAGCAATTTTAAGCAGCCTAACAGGGTACAGTGGTGAGCTTTACATAGCAGCTGAGGGGTTCTTTCAGCAGTAGTGCTGCTAATCCAGCACCTTYGTGGTTTGTCTTCTTGCAGGAACATATTAAAGCTAATTAAAATCTTGTATTTAAAATATTTTAGGGTTCATCGTTTCCTCCTCCATCTGAATATGCTCCACCGCCGAACCCAAGCTCTGACCACCTTGTAGCTGCAAATCCGTTTGATGACAACTACAATACTGTGTCTTATAAACCACTTCCTTCGGGAAATCCATATTTTAGTAATCCTGGTTATCCTGGCTTTGGAGGCTATAACACTTTCAGAATGCCGCCTCACATGCTGCCCAGGGTGTCCTCGCCATATGGTGGTTCTTATGCTCTCAGAAACCAGCCACACCCCCTCCCACAAAACCCCGTGGGAATGGGTTTTAGCCGACCCCACTCCTTCAGCTTTGGTCCGCATGATAACCCAGGTTTTGGGAATCAACCACCCTATAGTGGTGGTCAGATGAATCAGAATGTCGGTATTCCCGGCCAACATTTCAGACCAAATCCTGCTGAGAACTTTGGTCATTCTAGTCAGATACCTCACCCTGACGTGCCGTCTAACTTTGGTCCTGGAAATAATCCAAATTTCCCAAATTCTCAGCTAGATTCAAACCATTCTTTTGTTCTTCCACCAAACTCTTACAACCAGACAAAATCATCAGCACAAAAGCAAGACTTCAGTCAAGGCGCAAGCAAAGCGTCCAGCCAGAACACTGCTGCTCATCAGCATCATCACAGGACAGAGGACATTGTGAGTCAAGGTAACAGTGACCTAAAAAACGTTACTCGAAACAATGTGGTAAATCAGGATAACAGCCATTCTAATAGTGCTGAAAACACTAACGCTGGCCATTCAAACGGGACTCAGAGCAAGTCCCGCCAGCCTCGAGGTACCACTGAAGGATGCAACTCTGAAAAAGGCAGCAAAACACCCCTTCATCCCAGTCGTCATGGGCACTCATCCTCTGAACCAGTCTATCCGTGTGGAATTTGTACTCATGAAGTTAACGATGACCAGGATGCCATCTTATGTGAAGCCTCTTGTCAAAAGTGGTTTCATCGAATCTGCACGGGCATGACCGAGTCGGCCTATGGCCTTCTCACAGCAGAAGCATCCGCAGTGTGGGGCTGTGATACGTGTATGGCTGACAAAGATGTCCAATTAATGCGCACAAGGGAAACGGCAGCACCCCCTGCACTGAACACAGATGGCTAACAACAGGCATTGGTGGTAGTGGCTGAAATACTTGTTACAAAGGTTTGGTTAAATACAAATTGGGTATGTCATTTCTGCAGACAATCAGTTCTGTTTGATTGCTAGTATCTTTTTTTTTTTTTCCCCTTAGTCTGTTTTCACTCAAACTTACATCTCAGTTTTGGTACTCTTAGTTTCAGGTGTGCAAATGTTCTACTATTTAATCAGGAACAGGAAACACATGATGTTGTAAAATGTAACTGATATCTGATGAGAAGGAGGATGTGCATGTAAAATTTTACTGAAGGCAGGAACATGCCAGTGTGAATAGTCTCTATTCACTTGTGCTAGTGTGTTAACTAAATCTAGCTTTTAGTGCTCAGTTTTGATGGTACTATACTTGCAGGTGCTCATTGCTTTTTATTTTTGGTGAATGTCCATTACAGATATTCTTGCTAATATTTCTCTGAAGGTAATGGAGGTCACATGGAGGAATGTGCTATATTAATAGGGTTTTTTGTTTGTTTTTAAGGGATAAATACAAAGGATTTCATCTGTCAAATAACTGAATGTTCTTAGAAAAAAAAAGGCATTAACACTATTTTTAAATTTAACTTCATGTCTAGCAACACAGTGAAGCCTGCTAACTCACACCTTTATGTTTCCTTGAGAAGGCAATGAGCTCTTTGACTTCTTAGCAAATACAAAATTGCTAAAGACTTTTGCAAGATCTTGCACTACTTAAAAATAGTTTAAAAATATGTTGGCATTTAAGCAGATAGAAGAGATCAAACTTACGAAGTTCAGTGCTTTATATCTAGAGAATACCAAAACTAGGGTTGCATATGTAACCTTAATTAATGTGTCTTAAACATATGCATCAGCATACGGTCTCTGCTTTTTTTGTCATCGTTCAATCATTCACCTCTGCTCCTTTGTCATTGAAAGTTTTAGTCCCCAGCCTCGATGCTGCCCAAGAATTGTGAATGAAATAATGTAGAGAAAGTCCTGCCTGTCTCCTAGGGCAAGACAAGAGCCTGCTCCAATCCTGAGCTTACACAGTCCATCTGGCATGAAGAAGGGTGTGAAGGAAGGGAGTGTGCTTAGCACAGACTGAGCTGCAAGATAATTTGGCCAACAAAGTTTTAAAATTGAAATCAGCCAGTCTTTCAGTTTTGGGGGAAAACAGGAAAAATCTAGGATGAAGAAAAATACAACTTGCGTTAGGAGGTAAGAGTTTACTGCCTCTCAAGAGTGAATATTTGGAAGTTTAGCTTCCTTGCTGAACTTGAAATCCAACTTAAAAACATGAAAAGCACTAGAGCTTCATATATGATTGTAAGAATTCTCTTCTAATATGGGTAATTTGATCTTAGTATTTTTTAATTTTGTCTTAGTATGAGTGACTTGAACACTGCAATTGAAAATGAGTGTGTGTTTTTTTGTTTTTACTTAATAAAGGTGGTACTCTGATAACAGACTCTGCTCATAATACTCGCCACTGATGGGAATCTTTGATTGCTGATCATTTGAAATCTAAATCATATGGCAAGCATTAGTCACATTCCTTAATGTGATCGAAGGTATTCAGATCTGTGGTGATGAGTAAAGTAAGAGCCTGTATAAAATACAAATGTGTATATATAAAGTTACTTTTTACAGTAAAGTTTTCTAATGAGTGAAAAATAAGAGCTGCTCACCATTGTGTTTGAATTCAGTGGGCTCTACTCTAGTAATAAACTTTCCTGGGAGAAACATTTTCTGCTGATATGCATAACCCTGTTATTTTAATACTGAGGACTTGTATATACCATCTTTTACCATGGAAACGTTAAGTGCAGTATCCCCTTGTATGTGTCTTACTTTCCTAATGAGAGGTAATGTCCAAAGTGGGAATGAGACAATTCATATCTTGAGGATTTTTTGTATGGAATCGTAAAGAAAGAGGAATGCAGATTCAAGGCTTCTGATTTCAGAACTGTTTGCTTTGTTTAGTACAGAGATTAAACTTAGTTTTGTTAGGGGTTACAGTGTTAAATACATTTAAAAAAAAAAAATAGTAGTTTTCCTTGTAACTGACTTCAGTTAGAATTTTCTTTTGGTATCTAACGTAGAAGGTAAGCCAAACCTTGTTTAGATAACTTTGTTCCTGTGGGCAATAACTTTATTTCTGTTGCAACAATTTGCACTGTGAAGGTTATGGAGCTGGTTCTGAACTGCAGCCATGTAAATCAAAACAGAATTTTGTCTCGGTGTTTGGAAATTCAGCAGAAGATCTGGTGATGATGCCATTATCCAAGCATCTTATTCGCAGTACTTTGCACCCCTGCTCCCAGTTCCTAAAATGAGTAGATGTTTCAGGGCATTCATTCTCAGAAGTCCAATTAATATTTTAAGACTTTGGAGCAGACACTGTATTTAAAAAAAGCTATGTGTTTGTTAATCTTTTCAATCAATCCTATGTCACGTTAGGCAAGTGCTTTCTATGTTAGTTAGCAAGGCATTAGAATACAAATATAGTGTTCTTATGAACTTCCAAAAAAAATGAATCTAATTTTATAAGGCCTAAATTGTGTATATCTGAAAGTTATTCTAACAAATTATTTCAGTTTTTCTAAACTGGTACCCTGTTGGGTTTGTAACCCAGTGAATTTTCTGCGTATATTAACTTGCAAATTCAAGGCATTAGTAAATGCCAATTTTAAAATATCAAATAAAATGAAACAAAACCTGTTACAGCACGGATCATAGAAACAGAATAGGATCTCAAAGTCATTTAGCCAATATGCTTGCCCTGCCAATACACTCTTGTGTACCTGGATTCTTTACTTAGAGAATTACTTTTTTTTTCCTCCCTTCTCTGGGTGTATTGATTAGTAGTAGTTCAAGTATGCACAGGGAAAACAGCTATCATGTCTTAGTAGTACAGTAATAGGAAAATGTCAGCTGGGTAGAATTAGAAATTAGTTATAGAAATGTTGGTGGGAGGGAGGGTGGGCTGATTAGAATAGGTGAGTTCTTTTGTAATACTCTACATGGTACAAGTTGTATTGAGCTATCATGTGATTCTTTCATTATTAGTGATTTAGACTGCACTGGTGCTGCACACCAAAATATTGCAAAGATTCTGTAAATCATAAACCTGGAGATTTTTGTGGGAAAGGCCTGTGTTGTTTTTAAACTGTTCATCTGTGCTTGGAAGTGGAGCCTGTACTGCTGAAATTCCGCCCCCTCTTATCCCCCATATCTTTTTCTCCCTAGGCTCAATAAACAGCTGTAAACTGGATTGAACAGCCCTTAATGCTGCCAAACTGGCTTGCTTTCTTTTTGCTAGAGACCAATTTTAAATGAGAAAATATGTAATTTACTTTTAAAATACTTATTTTGCTGTAAGTGTCAGGGTAAGTGGTGGTGGTTAGAGGCTGGAAACTGGGTATTGAAAATCCTGTTTCTTGCTGTTTTACTGATCCCTTGCGCAGCTTGAGGCCGGCAGGTTAACTGTTTGTGCCTCAGTCTGTTCTTTCCTAAGACCGGATTCTTACTTCCAAGGGTCTTTAGAGGTTTAGTTACTACTTGAGATCTTAAGATGAAAGATGCTAAAGAAGTAAAGTGTAATCTGATCAAAGTTTGCTCTGTTTAAAACAAAGATATAAGTTAGTTACTACATTTTTGGGCTGCTCAAACAGGAACATACTTTGTCACTTTGTTTTTCCTTTTCTTGACTAAGCACTAATTCTGTACACACACTTTCAGGCTTCACTTCAAGCATGTGAGACTTCTTGGTGAAGTCAGGAGAACTGCATGCACAAAGCCAAGCACATTGCAAAGTGTTTGCAGTTCTGGGACCGTGGCCTTTTTTTGTAGATATTCTTGGGTAAAATGCTTTGGTGGTTTGAGATTTTTGCAAGTTCAGTGGTGTTCAAAGGGAGCACCTCTAACACTTTACTTTCTTCCAACTTAATACAGATAACATACATCTGCATAGAATAGATCCTTTTCATTTTATACACAAACATTGTCTGCCAGTAAAACTATCAGTGTAACATTTTTTTAAAGGAAGTCATGCTTCTTATCATGTTGTATGTGACTTAAATGACTGTTTCATATTAAAACTAATCTTTCCTTATGTACTGCTTAAATATACCTGTTTTGGGATATCAGTTCAGTACTTTTTATACAATCTTGAATGTGTTCCACATTGGTGACATGTATTTTTGCAACAGCTTTTTTTGTTTTAATTTTAAATTAGAACATGTCTGAAGTAATACATGCATTAGTGCTGTAGTGTGTGGCAAAGTAAATGTATGTAATTCAAATTGGAAAAAATGTTTCCAGACTTTGTCCAACATTAACCCTGTGGCCAGGGATTAAATTACTATGTAATACAGATTATTTCATATCATGATGTGTTTTTAAGCTACTCTATGAAGTATATGAAACATTATTGTTTATGGATTGGTAGCTGGCCTGATATCTTGCGTAGAACGAGGTATGATGGATGGTAGCGATTCATGATAATTAAAACTGAATACCTTTCAGAACATGCAGCATTTATATGCATTGTCATCCTGTTGCCATAACATTAGTATGAGTTTTTAAATATTAATCCATTGACAACTGAGTGAACATTTGGTATTATGTTTTTAAAAAAATGTAATTTTTTAGCTATTGGATGTGAAGAGATATGTGCAGGAGGATGTAGAACTCGATGTATTTTTTAAATTATTCTGCAGTTGCTTTGTTTTGTCTGAAGCTTTCTATATTAGAATAGACTCTTCCTGAAGTTTGGAAAATTAAGTGTACTTAGCAGAGATCTTAAGGCAATATAGCTTTGCTAGACTACATCCCGAGTTATGCATATTTGCTTCTTTGTGTGGAACTCCTATCATCTCTTGTTGGCTTATGCTTTACATAGAAATAAGGAGCTCCTTTGTACCCTGGTGTTGTGCATTATCAGTTTTAAGTTATCTAATTGTGAATGTCCAGCCCTTTTCGGGTGCTGCCGGTAGCTTAAAGAGTATTCACTGTGGCCCCTAGTTTATTGGTTGAAAAACAGCTTATACCAAGATGGTAGGGAATACCTGTGTTTTATTGTTTAATGTTCAGGATGGCTTTCCTTTTTGTTTTTAAACAAACTGTCTCTCCCGGTATGATTTCTGATTCAACCTCATCTTTTTCCTTGGAGTTTGTGCACTGTACTTCGGTAATTGCTATATTGGAGACAATTTGGTGACTGGGGTCACAGGAGACGTTGTGTCTAATCCTAGACACTAATCTCATCAGCTCTTACTTGTATGTTTAACAAAGAACAGACTCAGTTTGAACTTTCATATAATTTAGGGAGGGCAAACTTTTTAATATATTTGTTCTTTAATATTTTTGCCTTTCATTTTTTTTCCTGAAATGTAAAATAATGTATAGTTGCTGAGGGATTTTTACTTTATAGCCAATCTCTCCACCAAGCTTTTGTACGTGGCCTTTAGAACAAACGCTGTATTGTTTAGGGCCTTCTAAACTTGGTATCTTCTTGGCATTCTCCTTTCAGTGTTAAAGACTAGTTGAAAAAGACAAGTTACCCATCTACTGCCATCCAAACAGTACAAAATAAAAGCTGATTAAGATTGACTTTTTTGTTTTGTGAATAATGGTACAATACATGACCCTTTAGAAGATGTATCAGGATCTAAATCAACCATTCTTGGAAAATGTATATGGCAGATTTTGTCCAGCGCTGTATGTAAATTTGTTGCTTTCTGGTTTCAGTTTCTTTAAAAATAAAGCTGACTTATGGGGAATTTGCCTGTTGCTTTCATGATGATATAACACGTAGATTAATTTTTCTAGTTTTTCTGTCTGAGGATGCATTTGGGTTAGGTATAATCCAGTTTGGGGTCTTATTCATTAGAAGAGACAGCTGCTACTTCTCCTGGAGACATCTACTGATCTTTAGTGTCAATAACTTAGAGTAACTTTAAAAGGGATTAGAAGAGGTCTCGCACCCTGAGCCCCATTCTTTCTCACAGGTTGAGATGGGTTCAGGTATTGTTTGGCCGCACTGGTTGCGGATCTTTCTGCACTTGGAAGAAGATTATGCAAAGAATTATTTATTCCAATTTGCAAAATTTGTGCTAACCAACTGAAATGTTGCAACTAACACATGGTGAATCAGTACCTTGATCTTTAAAAGCAACTGGTATGGGCCCAAGCCATACACTCAAAAGAGTGTTCACTGAAATAAAAAGCATCTATTCCTGTTCTTTCTAAAAATATGCATGGATAAGAGAAAGGGAAGGAGACTATAGATAAGAAAGATAAACTAATAGATGAATTTTTCTAGATGTTAAAGCCTCTGAAGCCATTAGAAATGACCTAACACCTTAAAGTGTGCTTGTTTGTGTGTGTCTGAGATTCCAGTCCATGCAAGCAACTGATGATATCAATACTGGTGAATGAGGATGGAGAATAATCAAGAGCTTGTATTGATGTGGATGCATTTCTTGCTCTGAATGTTTTAAATCTCCATGGTTCCCATTTCTGTATCACATCAGTGAACTGCAGTCATTGCTCTCAGTAAGCTCCTGCTTGGAGTACAGCTATTAAATCCCGCAATCTGTGGTGTAGTTAGATCTGAAAGGGTCACTCAGCAGTCACACTTGGTGTGTGCAATGTTAATTGGCCACAAAAGAAGAGGAAGACTGCCTTGGCATTTATTTAGTTATTTCAGGGGTTTTCCTGCCGCCCTGACATTTATCTATTTATTTATTTGTTTATTTTAGGTCCTTCCTGTTGACTTGGCATTTACTTATTATTTCAGGGGTTTCCTGCTGCCTTGGCCTTCATCAGTTTATTTGGATGGCTCCAAGTCGCGGTGCCCCGCTCAGGAACTTGGGCACACCTGAGTAGGAATCCGAGGGCGCCCGTTCCAGGCGCGCTGCCCGCGGTGACCGTTAGCGGCGCGGTGACCGTTAACGGCCGCGGTGACCGTTAGCGGCTCCCGGCGCGCCCCGCGCGGCGGAAGCGGCGGCGCTGCCTAGCAACGCGGCGCCATGCCCGTGTGGCTGCGGCAGTACCGCTGGCGGCAGAGCGCCGCCGCCGTGTTCGTGTGGCTGCCGCTGCCGCCGCGCCGCGCCACCGCCGCCAGCATCTTCTGCACCGAGCGGTACCTCAAGGTGCGCCGCGGAGCCGGGCCTGCGCGCGGCGGGAGRCGCGTGCACGGCGGGAGGCCCGCGCTGCCGCCCTCGCTCAGCGGCAGGGCGGCTCCTTCCCCGCTCCCCTCCCGGCAAACACCCTCGAGGGATGCGCCCGCCGGCCCCTTCCCATTGCTCTAAATTATCCCCATTCGGTTAAACTATGAACGTTCAAAGCCCCTGCTTCTATTTCAGTCTGAGCAAGGATTCTTTCTATCTCTCCCGTGGTATAATAACACTTTAGGCCTCCGTACGGCAGCTATTCAGATTGCAGTTTGTAACATTTGTTTTGAGGCTTACTGCACGTATGGAACGCCTGGAGCACTTACCTGATGACATGCTTTGTGTTGGCACATGTTTGTTATATTCATAGGTAAGCATCCCTCCCTTTTTATTTGAAGCCGTTCTCTATGCTCCCATCGATGACACAAACAGCACAGCCAAGATTGAGGATGGAAACATTTTCTTCACTTTGTATAAAAAGGAAATGGGCATGTGGGATTCACTGATGATTGAAAATGGTAAGTTCTGTCTTGTGAGGAGTAAGTTATGTACCGAGAACCACAGCATCGTCAAAACTCTCCTTAAAGAGAGCTTGGAAATTCACTGCCTTTCCAGTTGTGTTCTTTGATCTGTAAGAGTGCTGCGTTACCTATGCAGCTGGCTTTGCCTGTGCCATGTCRGTAAAGCTCCAGAAGTTTATGAACTCCAACCTGTCACTGAAAAACGTGGTGTCAGTTGTGGATCTTGTATCATGCTCCATCTTTTCTGGCAGGCAACTGCCTGCCAACACTTCAAGAAAATTACAGGTGATATTTGTAGTCTTGCCAGTTACACATTGCTAGCTCTTTTGTTGTTTTTTCCAGCTGATAAGGAAAAACTGCAATATCTAAGAGAAAATGCTATTCTAAAAGCCCAAGAAAAGGCAAAAGAGGAGGCAGAAGCAAAAAAAGTTACAAAAGAGGAACATAAAAAATACGCTTTGGAGGCCACAATGAAGGTAAGCCTAGGAGCACCACTATCAGCCGTGTAAATGTGAGCAGTTCCCAATGTGGCAGATGCTTGATCTTGGAATGAAGCTTTTAATTTGCATCTGAGATTCCAGTCCATGCAATACTCATTTTTATTACAATAGTGGAGTATCTTCTTTGATAGATATTTATGAGAATAACAGAAAGAACATTTGGCAGTTGGCACACTTTTGCTGGTGATGCCAGTGAAAGTTTTTGGTGAGGAGTTCAGATTTTTGTCAGCTGAGAAGAAAGTAYGCTGATTTGGTAAAACTTAAACTTCTTTTGTGGCCTTTGCAGTAGTAAAGGTGTTCAGTCATTTGTCACTGAAAAATACATTTTGTAAAAAACCTTATTTAGTCATTTTTTTAATAATAAGAAATAATAAGTTTTTAAGATTGTATATGCAGAATTATTTTGACCTAGAATAAAATAAAACTATTGATTTTTGTCRGTAGAAAGGTAATAATTATTCTATGTATGTACTAAGATCTTAAAAGTGAAACAAAGTGGGATTTGTTATGGGAAATAATAAATAGTGTGTTAAAATGAAGCAAGGTATCATACACTTCCGTATATTCCTAAACATCCTGAGCTGGAATATGGCTAGGATATCGAAGCAATCTTCCTGCTCAGGAACAGTACAGTAAAACCTTACAGAATCACTAGTGATAAGAGCCTCTTAGAACRTTTTTGATAGGTCCCTTAGTAAAGTCATCATATTTTTTGATGGAAATATTGCATGATTCAAAGGCAGGAAGAGCTTTAATATCAATATTATAAAATAGGTAAAGTAGGCAAGTAGGTGAAATAAATTCTCACAGATTAAATGAGCTATATGGACAGCTTTGTGTGTTGAATTTGAAATGAAGAACTTCTGAGGTGATAGAAAAACCTATCAATGGTTTTCCTGATGGAATATATTTTATCGTTCTTTAAGAAGCTAGTAAAACTTTATTTCTGAATATTTCTAAATCATATCACTAGTAGTAGAGATAAATTATTTAAAATATAGCTAAGAGAAAATATTTCCCATTTATTTTTGAGTGTCTTTATTAGCTTTGAGGTATTACTGCATTAATGATTATGCTGGACTTGGCATATGAAACTGGGAAATAATGGAATCTTTTACTCAGTTCTCTTATTATCRGATGTTAAATGTCTCAGTTTTATCCCACAAACAGCTAGAAGAAGCAGAAAGAAAAAGAATTGAAAATCTGAAAGAGCAGGAGCGGCAAAAGGTCACTAGGGAATTGGAGTTATGGAAAAATGAGCAAACATATATTGAAGGACAAAAGAGGATACAAAGAGAAGAGAAATTACATCAAGAACAGTTAAAGGAGAAGAAAAAGGAAAAAATAACCAAACCTATGATTCCTAATGAAGGAACTTCTAAGACCAATGAAGGAACTTCTAAGACCACAGTAAAACCTACTAAAGGTTGCATTTCTTGTCTTTTTTCAAAGCATGATATAACTTTATTCCTGCATGATTCATGTTAATCATATATCTCTATCTACATGCTATATGAACAAATAATTTCAGTTTGAGTGTATTTTAGTGTCTTTATTTTCTGTCTTTTTATTGAGCTAGACAGTGTGAGTTCTTGGCTCCCTTTTGAGTCACTGGAAATATGGAGGCAGGTTTTATTCCAAGTTTTAAAAAAGTAAGGCAGAAAGCATTTCTAACTGTGTAATGCAGTTTTTCTGAAGATGGAGTTCCTGTTACAGATGAAATATCTTCTGAGTTGCCACATAAAGAAGTCTCCTTCTGAGTTGCCACATAAAGAAGTCTCTTCTAGCCCTTATCTTGGCACACAGAGAGTTGGTTCCGGAAGTTAAACCAACAGATAAATGTTAATTTTTGTTTTGTTTGTGGTTTTTTGTTTTGTTTTGGTGAGTTTAGTTTTAACTATTGTACTTGTATTGTAACTTTTAAGAATCTTCCCTTCAAAGAACAAATTCAAACTCGTTYTCAAGCAACAACTTGAGGTTTATTTATAATGGGCAGAATGCTAAATTAGGTATACTTTGGGATTTGATAGAAAAATCGGGGGRAAAAAACTCTTTTGCTTTATTTTTCATTTCTAGTACTCTAATTCTCTTCGCAGGTCGAGGTTCCAAAAGTATATTTTCAGAGAATTTAAAGGAAGAACAGTTACCAGCACCTCGATCAGCTGGCACAATTAAAGTTAACTTCACATCACGGGTTTTTCCTACAGCTCTCCGTGAATCTCGGGTAGCAGAAGAGGAAGAGGTAAGAACTTAACTCTGTTTTACTATGATGCTAAATTACTTAAATTACTTAAATTACTATTTTGCTATTTAAGTAAATTATTTTGAGTCTAATTTATTTTTATCTAACTTTTTATTGTGCAGAATAATAAATAGCATATTCTTAGGTTCTTATTGTTTGAATAAAAAGTAATCAGTATTAGTCGAATTCCATTAGGTCCAAGTTTTCCATTCGATGCATCTTTATTGTTGTCTTTAAGCTTCTTTAACTTCTGTTTTTTTTTTTTTTTTTTTTTTTTAAACATTCACAGTTATTCCTGGTGAATTCTACTGTGGGTGAACACCATGCTGCTTTTGGAAGTTCCAAAACAAACAAGCAAACAAAAATGTATTGACTATGCAGTAAACTTACTTCACTCACAGCAATAAGATATTTGGTGAAACTTCGAGCTTTTAATATTTCTGTCCAAAAATATATAGTAAAGAGAATAATTTCAGTAGGAGAGAATGAGCAAATGAAAGCAAAATACTTCATTTATTTATTTATTTGTTTTTTCCTAGAGAAGTAATACATTCATATTATTACTTACAGTGGCTGCATAAGCAAGCAGAAGCTCGAAGAACAATAAATGCTGATTTTGCTGAGCTGGAAGATTTAAAAGAAGAGGAAAAGAATCCAGATTGGTTAAAAGACAAAGGAAAGTGAGTTAGACTCCATTTGAAGATACATTTTAAATTGTATATATTAGTTACATAATATTTGGACATTGTTCAGTTATGAGATTTTCTATTGATCCTAGACGCAGGTCGTGGATGTCTACATAAGGAGAATTATTGATAGGGTATAGGGTTTTAGGCTAATAGAAAATCATGAGATCCAACTGGTGAAGCTTGTGAAAGATAAATTCATTTTAAGCACACAATGCACATTTTAATATCAAGAGAGTTAATTAGTGGAAKATTATAGTTAGATTTCCTTTTGTTGTTTTTTTTATTATAGAGTTTTAATATCTGTTTAAAACAAGCTTCAGGGATTTGATACAAATATTGCTCTGGTTATATAGCTGTGGATTGGATTTCTATATCCTATATTGTCAGCATTATATTGAACTGAATTTCTGCTGTGTTGAAAAGGTTGTAAATGACCATTGTCTAATGAAAAACTGCTTACATTTTAATTAAAAAAATGAATTGTTAACAATAAGCAAATATTAACTTGGTGATTTTGCACCTTGTTTAAAGTGTGTGTGTTTTACTTTTTGTTATGCACTTAGCAAAATGTTTGCAACAGGAAACTATCTTGCAGCTGTAAATGCCTATAACCTTGCAGTCCGGCTAAACAATAAGCTTCCAGTACTGTATCTGAATCGTGCTGCTTGCCACCTTAAGCTGAGGAATTTACACAAAGCCATTGAAGATTCCTCTAAGGTATTAATATATCATACAGGGTTTCCAAGCATCATCTTATGCGTGATTATGATCTAAATAGCTTTTAAATTCAGTATTTTAAAYTCAATATTGAGATTATGAAGCCACTGTGAAAGAGTAAAATGACTAATGAAATTTCAGAATTGTTTTAAAATAAATGCCCTGAATATTGGTACTGAATGGAGGCATGTTGATGCAGTACCATTTTCTTCACAAGAAAGTTATTGTAGGGTATCTACACATGAAAATAAGACTACTTGCAGCAAAAATACAGTTTATACCCAAATACATTTTGCAATAAGTTGTAATGTTCGTTTGGTGAAAGAAAGAATTGGGAAGAAAGAAAGAGGTGGTAGTTGAGGTGGTAGTTATGAAAAAGATACCTAATCTCCTTCCTCTACCTCTTGCAAAAACAGGCAACCCAACTCCTTAGGTTGGGGCATCTCTATGTTTAGGCAACCATTATTTATGGAATGATAGATCTCAGGTGGTACCTGAATAATTTGAAGAAAGCTGTGTAAAAATTGCTTGAGGCTTTTTTCTTCTAAAAAGTGATACAATATGTGAGCTTTTAAAATACTTTGTAGCATGATGGGTAATCTCATTTTTGTAAATAGAATAAATTGGTTGTTTGTAAATCACACTAACATGGTATGTTCCAGTTTTTAGCAAAGGCAGTGACCTTATATTTACAAAATTGCAGCTGCAGGGTGTTGGATACAAACTTAGTGACTAGATTCACATGAAATATAGTTAAATCTGAGTAATATTTTTTTAGGTGAGAAAATATGCACAAATGAGAAAAGTCRGAATATAAGAAATCTGCTTGTATTTATTTTGGGCCTTTTTATCTGTAAAGGCGCTAGAATTGTTGACACCACCTGTTCCTGATAATGAGAGTGCTCGAGTGAAAGCCCATTTGAGACGTGGAACGGCATTTTGTGAGCTGGAATTATACGCTGAAGGTAATATGCTGAATTTATGAATGCTTATGCATTTATTTATGCACTTGTGAACGTTTATGCATGTTATTTAGGTAGCATATGAAAGTAATTCTATTGAGTTTGGACTGCTTAAGATTGCTCAAGATTTCATGCAATGTTCCTTCCTCTTGTTATATGTTTTCATAAGCTGTAGTATTCACRATTCCTGTGATTTGTTCTTGTTTCCAAGTGCTTTCATTCTGCCCTTAGTTTTTTTGTTTTCTACAGGGTGCTTTTGAACCCTCCCTTCATCCATAATTCTCTTGTCCTATACTTCTTTTATCCTTGATGTATGGCAAATGTCCATATGTTTATACTTTAATTTAGATTATGATTCTGATACAGTCCAATCAAATTGATTCTGTAGTGCTTATTTTTGTATTTTTTAACCAACTGGTATGCCTCCCAATATTGCAAGATTATTTGCAGGTAGAAACCTTAGACTGTGAAGAATCTTTCCTCCAAAGAAAGCAGTTACTTGACCACAGTAATAAAATATATACTTATTTGCTGACAAAGTCAAGCATAATGTTATGATTCCATGGTACCCAACAACATCTAGAATTCAAGAGCAATTCTTACTATGCATATGACTAGGTAGCTGTTATTTCCAATCAGTTGCTGAAGAAGGTCACATACTTTGCTTTAACGATGTTCTTTTTTAACGTATCTATACTAGGTCTCCAGGATTATGAAGCAGCACTCAAGATTGATCCTAAAAATAGCACCATAGAAAAAGATGCTGAAGAGATTCGACGCATAATTCAGGGAACATCGCAAGACGTGTAAAAAGAAAAGAAAAAAAAGTAAGAAAATTTTAGAAGACATTTTGATTCTTGTGTGGTCTGATACATTGTTAAATATCCATTTTGCTATTATACTCAGGATAGCTGCAAAATAGGTAAAAGATTAGATGAGTAAGAGAGATATTTGGGTGCATTTTATAGCATTTGTATCCAAACTGATTATGTGTTTACTTTCTATGAAGGATTGGGTCATAATAAAGCAGCCTATTTGGCCTTAAATAAAAATTAGTAGTAACTTAGTAGTAAACAAAAATTGGTCTGTAAATATCTACTGAATCTAAACAGTGGATTTTCAAACAACTTCAGTAGCTGCATATAGTCAGCACTGTTAACTTCCTTACCTTTGTCATGAATGCTAATGGAAACATCTGATATGAAATATGAAAATTCTACATCTATTTCATATAGTTCTAACATTTTATGTGCACTTGCAATAGGAAGAATTCAAAAATGTATCTGTTTAAAAGTCTGTCAAACTTGGATATTGTAAAATTTAGTATTATATAAGCAATCTGAATTTTGATGCCTTTTGAGTACTCATATTCCTACAGAAGACAGAAGGCCATTCTTTCATTTTTTTATTTATTTTGATTATATACTTTTAATGCTTTCCTCTTAGGCTTAGATTTTCTAAATTGGGTGGCTGAATTACAGTATTTCACTATAATATTTTAGTTTCAGATGTCCCAAACAGTTCAAACACTTAAGAGGTTGAAGGTAGATGTTGTGCAGTGCAGAACATTCTTTTTAGCAGTAAGCAATGTACATTCAGCATTTACAGTTTCCTTCAAAAGATCTTACTGGGCTAACCAAATGAATTTATTGGAAAAATTGCCAATCTGTGGGGTTGTATTGCAGTGTAATGGTAGATTAATACTGAGGTAATTATCCTAAGAATTAATATGATCTTTTTTCCATCCTAGTACATTTAGTGATTTTACAGTGTAGCTATTGTAAATATCTAAATATCCAAACAGAAATATGTTTATCTCTTAACCTGATATTTTAACCTGTACTCTGTTGACATTGACGGGTATCTTAGGAAAACTGACGCAATTAAAGGTTTGACAAAAGAGCACCCTGGTCAGGTTACAAGTCTTGTCAAACTACATGGAGCATGATAGTGCGTTTTGAAGTTGTGCAGCTGTTACTCTGGGTAGTGAAAGAATGTAAGATTGAATGGTATTGTTTATATGTATGTTGGTGGTCTTATTTTTTATGAAAACCTGAAACGCATAGTTTTTGCTATGCTGTATGTTTTGTCTAAACTGAGTATTTCAAATATTTTGCTTTCAATAGTGGTGTTCTTGGCTAAATTTTTCTGAATATCATTTATGATTCTCAAGTTTCTGTTTCAAAGAAAATATTTATTGGTACAATAAGAAAGTTACAGCTGCTGCCTCAAGCTACATTACCTRGATCTTTAGGAGGGGTCCTGAGGTGAGACAAAATGGATAGGATACCTGTGGTCCTTCTTTTGGCAGACACCTACTGCATTGCAGTGGAAGGAGGATGGGAATACTTCATTTGTGGCAGCTGAAAGGGGAGCAATGCAGGAGCTTTAGTGCCTCTATGGAGTGTAATGTTAATACAGACCATATTTTTTTCCTTTCAACTACTGAGGCAAAGTGGAGATAAGATAATGTGAAGAAGCATAAGCTGCTTACAGGTTCCTGAATCTCTATTTTGGTACCAGAGCCTGTTAGAACAATCTATATATATATTTGCATCGGATGTTTATATTGTAGCAGTCGGTTATGGTGCCTAAAGACTATCTTGGAGGTAGATGGCAACTTTTTCTGCAGCCACTTTCTTCCCTTGGCCCACCCTTTAGGAAGAAATACCATATGGAATTGGTTAAAATGGATCCACAATTCACCTACATCMTCTTCTTCAAGGAGAACTTTTAGCAGGGGGTTGTGTGAATGATTCCTGTTTGCTTTAAAAAATCATTCAGTGTAAAATGAGTGGAACAGGAAGGAAAATCTATCCCAAAGTTTTACAATACTTTAATGTAGTACTGTTTATAATGGAGTTTGGTTTATTTTTTAAGTGATTTTTGCCTATTTGCAGTTGGCAGATATGAAACAGAAAGTCCTCTTTTAAGGGAGGAAAGGCAAAYGTGTTTGCTGGGATGAACGCTATCTGCATGTCCCATCTGCTTGTATGGGCAGCCCACGGTTATTATGTTTCTGACCTCAGCACCTCAGGTGATGGTTTATATCAGTCACATGCATGATGTTGATATTCGTGCCTAGCTGTAAAGAAACGTGGAGACTGGCAGAGTTCTTAAAAGAGAAAATACTTTAATTACTACAAGTAAGCCTTCAGGTCAWTTTCTCTGGCACTTAACACTTTCTATGAATTAGCTATACATTTATCATTCTAACTTCAGGAGTTCTATTTGTATGGCCTTAGACRAGCATAGTATCAAACTGACTGTATCCTGCTCAATACATTGTACTTGGCCTGATATAGGCAAACTGAATCATATATTGACAGATTAGTCCCAGAATGACTGAAATAACAAATTCAAACTTGTTCTCCTAGAGTTAAGGGCTCACTATTTAAATAAACAAATATGAAAAGGAGAGATGCATTTTTACAGAGTGTGCTGAAAGTTTGGGTAGTCACAAACCCTACTTTTGTCAAGAGCAGTGTTTAACTGGCTGTTTCTGAATGACCCACAGGTGAGTAAGTGGGTTGTAAATGCCTGATCCTTTGGATGGTAAGTACAAGGTGCCAGCTGGGAGGTAGGGGGTATCGCACCGTATTCGCTTGAAGTTGTTTTAAACAGTAAAATCTGAGGCTTTGTCAAAAAAATATTGGTTGTGAGCGTTTTTGGGTCTAGCATACAGGAAAACACCGGATTTCCAGGGTTTGTGCAGAGAGGCAGATGAGGGTTTTTTAGCTCGATGCTGGTACTTGACGGCAGCTTCTCAGCAGAAGTTGTCCTCTTCTCCTGGAGGAGAGATGGATTCGGTCAGGCTTTCAAATGAGGGCAGAACTTCTCAAATTTGCTAAATGTTTGTGGTCAGACCGACTGTTGCTCAAGAGGTGCGTTGAAACTCACACCGAGGGGAGAGTCAGGAACCGCAGCGCTGCTCACGTTTGCCCTTATTTAGCAAGCCGGAGAGAGCGATAGCTGCACTCACCATGACTGCCCCCGGCCGCGTCCCGGCCCCTCCTCCCGCGCCCGCCGCCGGGCCCCGTCCCGTGGGCCGCCGTGGGGCTGGAGCTGCGCGCGCCGG